TCCTCCATTGCAAATCAATGTTGGTGGCTTGTGGGTGGGTCGCGGAGCGGGTCTCGGGTGCGTGGCGGGGCGGGGCCGATAGACACGAGCGAGAATCCGCACCGCAGAGCTCACTTCAGCCATGCACCCAGGGACAGCAAGACCGTTTTGCCCTCCTCACTCCCATCACTAGTAGAATCGGTAGTTGTCGGGGATTGTTTTCGTTGGGCCCAACGAGTGCGTGGTAATTTGAGTCGAAGCAGTGATCGGTGGAGCAGCTGCACTCGTACCAGCTGCAGTAGTATATGCAATGATGGTGCAACCTGTGCTAGCAGACACAGCAACCTAGTAGCACTTGCATCAACGATGGCACCAGGATTTGTAGTAGCAGAGCTAGCAGTAGCGAAGGCAGCATCAGCAGTAGTGTAGCAAGACTAGTAGAATAGGTAGTTGCCGGGAATTGTTTTCGTTGTGCCCTAACGAATGCGTGGTAATTTGAGTCGAAACAGTGATCGGTGGAACAGTTGCACTTGTACCAGTTGTAGTAGTACATGCAATCATGGTGCAACCTGTGCTGGCAGACACAGCAACCTAGTAGCACTTGCATCAACGGTGGCACCGGGATTTGTAGTATCAGAGCTAGCAGTAGCGAAGGCAGTATCAGCAGTAGTGTAGCAAGGCTGGAAGTAGAGCGTATACTTGCTGTAGCGTTGGTTGTGGCCGCGAGGGTAGCGGTGGCAGTTCCAGTCGTCTCAGCATTGGTCGCAATCGTAGCAGCGGTATCAGCACCAGCGCGTAGGTTCTGTAGCATCACGAGAGTCGCATTAACGACAGAAGTAACAACACCAGTATAGCACATACTGTGTGATGGATGAGTTGCACTTGCAACCGCAGATGCACTAGCAAGTAGCAACACGTTCTTATACTCGCCGTGTCATATGCACGTGCCAGTAGTGTACCCGCATCGCTGGTTGCAGTGGTTGTCGCCGGAGTAGTAGTCGTATCAGTATCGTCGGTCGTTTTGATGGGATGGTAGTGCCAGCTTCAGCGGTGGAAGTATAAGTCGTCGGGGTGGAAGTGGACGGACCTGCTCCTGGTCGGGAGCACCAACAGGTCCAGCATGTCCGTCATTTGTACAGTGTTCGGATCATTTGAGACCTCTGCCCGGCAGGTCTCAATTGATCCGTGTACTCCCCGACTCCGCCGTGCCTCTGAGCCCACGAAAGTAGCGAAATTTGCGCAGCTCGCAGCCCCCCAGGGAGCTGCGAGGCTTCAAATGGTCCGCTCACTCCCCGACTCCGCCGTGCCTCCTGGGAGCCCCGGAAAGCGGCGACGGGTTGCACAGTTCGCAGCCCCTCAGGGAGCCGCGAGGTCGGCGGCGGCGGCGGCGGCGGCGGCGACGACTCGCGGCGACGACGACGACGACGACGACGACGACGTCGACGACGACGACGTCGTCACTTCCCCCCCCCTTTCGTCCGACCCGAGCCACCCGGCGACCCGTTTTTGGTTGAGCAGCCCCGCCCGTGCTCCACGAGCGAGCCTCGAGCCCTCGGACCTCGGAGCACGAGCCTGCCGCCGGCCCTGGGCGGCGGCTGCCCGCCGACGGCGGCGGCGCCGACCACCACGCCGACGACGGCCGCCGCCGCCGCAGACGGCGTCGCCGCTGCCGGACAGCGGCAAGACGACGATCGTCGTCCCTCCCTCCCCCCCTCCCTCTCAGAGGAGGAAAAGTTAGCCATACCTCTACCCTTTCCTCGTTTTCCCCTTTTTGGGCCTCCTCGTAGGCCCTCGTCGTCACCGCTGCACTCGCCTCGAAATTCTGGTCAAAACGCACCCGGGAGGGGCCTGGGGAGTAATTAGTGGTATCGGTACCTTTTGGTTTCCCCTCCCTCCCCTCGGGAGGAGGAGGAGGAGGAGAAGGAGGAGGAGGAGGAGGAGGAGGAGGAGGAGGAGGAGGAGGAGGAGGAGGATGAGGATGAGGATGGAGGATGATGAGGATGAGGATGAGGATGAGGATGAGGATGAGGATGAGGATGAGGATGAGATGAGGATGATGAGGATGAGATGGATGAGGATGAGGATGAGGATGAGGATGAGGATGAGGATGATGATGATGAGGATGATGATGAGGAGGAGGAGGAGGAGGAGGAGGAGGAGGAGGAGGAGGAGGAGGAGGAGGATGGAGGAGGAGGAGGAGGAGGAGGAGGAGGAGGAGGGGGAGGAGGAGGAGGAGGAGGAGAAAGAGGAGGAGGAGGAGAGAGAGGAGGAGGAGGAGGAGGAGGAGGAGGAGGAGGAGGCGGAGGAGGCGGAGGAGGCGGAGCAGGGGGGAGAGGAGCAGGGGGGAGGAGAGGAGGAGGAGGAGGAGGAGGAGGAGGAGGAGGAGGAGGAGGAGGAGGAGAGGAGGAGGAGGAGGAGGAGGAGGAGGAGGAAGGAGGAGGAGAGGAGGAGGAGGAGGAGGAGGAGGCGGAGGAGGAGGAGGAGGAGGAGGAGGAGGAGGAGGAGGAGGAGGAGGAGGAGGAGGAGGGAAGGAGGAGGAGGAGGAGGGAGGAGGAGGAGGAGGAGGAGAGGAGGGAGGAGGAGAGAAGGGGAGGGCAGGAGGAGGAGGAGGAGGGAGGAGGAGGAGGAGGAGGAGGAGGAGGAGGAGGAGGGGGAGGCGGAGGAGGAATCACCGACCAAACTGCCAGGTCTGCGAGTGGGCTGCCTTGAACAGTCCCTGCGCCGAGGAGGGATTGGCAAAGGGGGACACCCGTCGCCTGTGGGAACGCCAACTCGCAGCCTGTTGCTGTTAGTTGCGAACAAGGGCACACCCTGACTCGCAACCCACCAGGATTGTGCAAGACTGGCGCCTTGCATCCAACAAAGGACCACGGGCCAGTTGTGTATGCATTGCGTAGCCTTAATCCAGAGTCCCGACAGAGTACCAGTGACGACGAAGATGATGTACTATCCAGTGGCAGTGCAGATCGAGTGAGGGAGGAGGAGGTGGAGGAGGAGGAGGAGGAGGAGAGGAGGAGGAGGCGGAGGAGGAGGAGGAGGAGGAGGAGGAGGGGGGAAGGAGGAGGAGGAGAGGGGAAGAGGAGGGAGGAGGGGAGGAGAGAGGAGGAGGAGGAGGAGGAGGAGGAGGAGGAGGAGGAGGCGGAGGCAGGAGGCGGGCCGCCGCGGCGGCGCGCGCAAAAGCCCGCCGCCAGCGGTAGCAGCGGCTACCCGCCGCCCGGCGGCGACCGGGGCCCGCCGCCGGGGAGCAGCGCCGGCTACGGGCCGCCGCCCGGCGGCGGTCGCGCCGACCGCCGCCGGCGTCGTAGTCGTCGTCGTCGTCGTCGTCGTCGTCGTCGTCGTCGTCGTCGTCGTCGTCGTCGTCGTCGTCGTCGTCGTCGTCGTCGTCGGCGTCGGCGTCGGCGTCGGCGTCGGCGTCGGCGTCGGCGTCGGCGTCGGCGTCGACGTCGGCGGCGTCGGCGTCGGCGTCGGCGTCGGCGTCGGCATCGGCGTGGTCGTCGTCGGCGTCGGCGTCGGAGTCGCCAGTGCGGTCGGCGACGTGGTGGTGAAGGCCGTCGTTGCCGACGTCGTCGTCGGCGTGGTGGCGGTCGGCGTGGTGGTCGTCGTTGTTGTCGTCGGCGTCGGCGTTGTGCGTGGCTTTCTGCATCTTGCCTGGTGGTCGGCGTGGTCGTCGTCGACGTGTGCGTGGTGCTTGTGGTGGTGGTGGTGGTGGGTGTCGTCGTCGTCGTCGTCCGCGTGGTGGTGAAGGTCGTCGTCGGTGTCGTCGGAGGGTGACGGTGAGAGAAATCGTGAGAGAGAAGTGATGTTGGGCGAGGATGGGGCGTGTGAGCAGTACGAGCGGCGGGGGGAGAGGGGGATTGAGGAGCAGGATCCCGAGGACGTGTCCAGGGCGATGATGCTGAGGATAATTATGCATGATGATGAGGAGGAGCAGACTGGAGGAGTAGCAGCAGTGAAGAGAGATGAGTCAGAAGTGGCAAGGAGGTGTAGGAGCAGACAGCGGGGGGGGGGACGAACTGATGATGTAGAGCAGAGCTGTGATGCACGAAGAGGAGGAGTGGGAGGAGATCACCGCCCAGGGCGGGCGGGCATCGGTTCAAAAGGGAAGGCCGGGTCAGTGGCTGATCCCCCTCTTCCCTTTCCGTTCGCCCTGATTGTACGCACTTCTCCTAAATAGTCTGGGGACGATGTGTTTTGAATATGTGTTGATCATGTTGGGGCATGTTTTCAATATTTTTATTTCTCGTCCAAAAGGCCCCACTTGATACTGCTCCCCTCTCCCCACGACTCCGTCGGGAGGACAGCAGGTGCTCTCCGTGCGCAGGCTCGTAACACACAGGATTGGGCAAGGGTGTTCTTTTCCTTATGGCGCCTGGCGATCCGACTGTCTCCGGCGTTTCCACATGATGCTCGCCCTGCCGCGTGGGCCTCGTCTTCCGATCGGCGCTCTGCCCCCCCGGTGGTTCCGCAGGGCGCTCTCGCCCCAGCGCGGGCCACTTCTCTCCTCGATCCGACTCCTCTCTCATCGTTGTCGCCCCCCCTCGTTTCCCCTCCTCGACCTCCCCCTGGTCCTCCTGCTCCTTCCCGCGCCTTCCGCCCCAGCTCCTGCCACTTTTCGTCCTCGTGCTCCTCCCTCCTTCTTGTTCTCTCTTCTCCTCCTCCTCATTCTCCTCCTCCTCCCTCCTTCCGCATTCTCCTCCTCCCTCCTTCCTCATTCTCCTCCTGTGCCTGCTGCCCATCCTTCTGCTCACCTCCTCCTATGTGCGCAGCTTCCCCCGATTTGCGCATGACACGCTTGGGTCTTCTTGGGGGGACTTCCAGGTCGGTGCGTTTGCCGTCTTGGATGCTCACGAGGGCACCCCCGTCCAAAGGGGCGACCGACGCAGTCGCCGCAGTTGTGGCAATGGGTGCTCTCGCCGCAGGGCAGACCGCACTCCCGCATCAGCGAGTGCGGTGCTCCACGTTCCACGCGTGGTCCGCATTGACTTCATCGAGCCTCGGCATGGCTGAACGAAGCCCTCGGTGGAGTTCTCGATCCTCTGCCGTCGTGACCACACGACGGCTGCTGTTTTCCCAGCTGGTGCCTGCACGTATGGGGTTCCTACCTGCGTTTCTGAAGCATGAAGGGGCCCAGGGTCACGCAAACAAATACACACACAAATCCCAGGATCCCCATAATGTTCCCATATTCTTGGGCCTTCGCCTTCCCTCCTCACTTCCCACATGTTCGCACAGTTTCCTGGGGATCGACGATGGATTGTGCCTGTGTGTTCGTTTTCCCTCTTATCATTTTGTCAGACTGCACGTGCCTGAGCTTCCCTGGATGCCCCCAGCTGTCTGCCTCCCGCGCAGCCCCGCTGCTGCTTGGTGAGTGGGCCGGCCGGCCTGCGGCGCGTCTTGTAGCTAATTAGGTTTGCCCGTCGGCCCGGACAACTTCTCTCGCCGCTTGCGCGCTCGCTGGTGGCCGCGACCAAAAAAGTTTGTTGTCCCTCCCGAAAGCAACGGGATGGGGTTCCCGGGTCTTCGCCATGCTGGCGCCCGCGTGCCCCGCCCGTGGGCGCCCCGTGCGGCGCGCCACGCAGCGCCGCGCGGGTTTTGCCAAAGGCTGCGCCTCGCTGGGCGCCTGCGCGCTCCGCTCCTGGGCGCCCCGTGCGGCGGGCGCGTTTCTGGAGCTTGCGCGCCGCTCGTCAGAGGAGGAAAAGGTACACGCGGTCGCGGTGCGCGGCTCGTGCGAGGTTGCGCGGTGCGTGCGAGGTCGCGTACGAAGCTGCGCGGTGCGTACGAGGTGGCTCGCACGCACCACGTTTCTCGCGGTGCGTACGAGGTTGCGCGCCGCTCGTCAGAGGCCCAAGGCCGGGCCGGCGGCGTGCCCAGGGGGAGGAGAGGGGCGGCGAGAGGGGGGCGGGCCTGCTCAGCAGGCGGGGCTTCCCGCAAGCCTCCCGGCCTTCTCGAGGAGCTGCTCTCCGGGTCTTCTAGGGGAAAAGGCTCGGAGCAGTCCTCCGAAGGCGGGCCGGCCTTCCGAGCCTTCCGAGGAGGCCGGCCCTCCTCGCCTCTCGCCTCCCCCCCTGGGGCTCGCCGACGTCAAGGGCATGCTCCTGGGCGAGTCTGACGCGCGCCCGGTCGCGAGCGCCGGCGGCGGCCCGCTCGCCGCCGCGGCGGTTGTTGGGCGTTTCTCGACAAGGTACACAGTGCTTTTTGGGGGGTCAAGATCCTCTCATGTCTAATTGCTCTATCCTGGGCCTCTTCCTGGCCACTAGGGCCAGGAACAATCAGACACGAGCACACTCAGACATGAGCACGATCAGAAATGAGCGACGGGTGCCGATACCGCTGCCCTTCCCTGGTGTTCCCCTTGTTCGGCCTCCTGGGAGGCACTCGTCGCCGCCGCCGGACTCGCCTCGGAAGTGTGGTCCGAGCGCACCTCGAGAGAGGTCCAGGGAGCAGCGGTAGCGGTACCCGTTGGTTTCCCCAGTTTGGCGCCCGTTCCCACCCGTGGGCGCCCCGTGAGCGTGTGCGGCATAGCCTACACAGGGCAGCTCACAGCACAGAGTTTGCACCGCATGGCTTGCAACGCATGGCTCGCCCTTCACGGCTTACACTGCTTGGCTTCCACAGCATAGCCCACACCACATGTATGATCTAACACGGCTCACACCATACTACAAAAGACGCCCCAGGCGTTTTTGTTGTTGTCTCTCTACCGTTTTGCACCTTGGGCTCGTGGCAAGCTGAAAACGGGACACATGTGACGGTTCTCAAGCGTTCTTAGCTCCGTTGTTTTAGTGTGTTCAGGCCCGTCGCTGTGGGCCATCATTTTTTGTTTTGTGGTCGAAGGCTGTTCCTTGTCTTCCCTGCTGTCTTTGCTCCCGCTCGTTTCTGCCGCCGTTCTCTCTCCCAGAGCTAAAAGTGCTTAAATAACGCTCGAGCACCAGTCTAACACTAGCCCGAAACAGGCCCAGAGGCCGGATGCCCCAGGAGGGGCAATCGGCCATCGGGCCTGCAAGACTGCATGCCAGGAGAAGGATTGCATGCCAGAAAAAGGAATCGAGGATGTCGTAGATGTCAATGTGAACCGTGCAACGAACTGATATGAATAACGCGAGAATCGTAGCTGAAAGAGCACACACAAATTAATAGTTCGTTAGTGCTTGCGGTGTTAGTTTTCTTGTTAGGACCTGAAGACGCTAATACAACATTCAACACGCCGAGTTAAAAACGGTAGAATGACGTCCTGGGCATATTCAAGGAGAGCCAAGCACATAGCTCGCATCGCAACGCTTACGCAACATATTCCCACCCCACATAGCTTATGCAGCATACCTTTGTGACCTCCACAGTACAATCATTCATTGTGTTGGGTCCACGCTGGCTAACATTTTATTGGGATGCGTTTCCCGGTTCGGACCCAGGGACCACGACCATATGCATGCGATCGAACTTATTCAGGCGAAGGGCCCAACCATATGCAGTTTTGAGTACCGTCGTTGTGGGCATCGCTTTCGGTGGACCAAGCGTGTGAAGGGCGTGCCGAATTGGGGCGGGGCCGCCATGCGGGCGCTGCCACTGGGGCCTGAGGTAGAACCCTCTTTCTGGAACCACGAACCATGCGAGCGGTGTGCAAAAACTGGAGTGACGCCGGCATGCGGGCTGCGCCAGTGGGGCCTTAGCTGGAGATCCCTATTGGGCCTTGAAGCGGTTGAGGGGTGTGCCGAAACGGCGGTGACGCCCACATGCGGGTTGCGCCATAGGGACCTTGGGTGGAGCTCCTTATAGGGCCAGAAACGTGTGAGCGGTGTGCCGAAGTGGGGGTTTCGCCCATATGCGGGCTGCACCACTGGGACCCTGGGTGGAGCTCCGCATGGGGCCAAGAAACGTGTGAGCGGTGAGCCGGAGCGGGGTGACACACACATCCGGGTTGCGCCATTGGGGCCTTAGGCTTGGGGCCACGAAACGTGTGAGGGGTGTGCCGAGACGGGGGTGACCCCCACATGCGGGTTGCGCCACTTGGGCCCTGAGTGGTCCCTATGGGGCCACGAAGCGTGTGAGGGGTGTGCCGAAACGGGGGTGACGCCCACACATGCGGGCTGCACCACTGGGACCTTGGGTGGAGCTCCTATGGGACCACGAAGCGTGTGAGGGGTGTGCCGAAACGAAGGTGACGTGCATATGCGGGCTGCGCCATTGGGACCTTGGGTGGAGCTCCCTACGGGGCCACGAAACGCGTTAGGGGTTTGCCGAAGCATGGATGACGCCCACATGCAGGCTGTGCCAGTGGGACCTTAGGTGGAGCTCCTGGTGGGGCCGCGAAACGTGATGGGAGGTGTGCCGAAACGGCGGCGACGCCCACATGCGGGCTGCGCCAGTGGTACCTTAGGCGAAGCACCCTGTGGGGCCACGAACCCTGCGAAGGGTGTCGAAGAGGGGATGACGCCCACTTGCGGGCTGCGCTGGTGGGGCCATAGCTGGAGCTCCGTAAGGGCCACGAACCGTGTGAGGGGTGTGCCGAAGCGGCGGTGACGCCCACATGCGAGCTGCGCCATTGGGATCCTGGGTGGAGCTCAGTATGGGCCCACGAAACGTGTGAGCGGTGTGCCGAAGCGGGGGTGACGCACACATGCGGGCTGCGCCAGTGGGGTCCTAGGTGGAGCTCCCTACTGGGCCACGAAACGTGTGAGGGGTGTGCCGAAGCGGGGGTGACACCCACATGCGGGCTGCGCCACTGATGAGAGGAGGGAGGAGGGCGAGGAGGAGGAGGAGGAAGAGGAGGAGGAGGGACGCGGGGCTTTGTCTCTTCAAAACGAGAACCCAAAGCCACAGGACGGTTGGTAAATGCAGGCCCGGCGATGCGGTCGAGAGCTCGGGGCCTGCATCGTGAACAATCAGAAAGTTGGTGGTCTGCCGGGACGACAGCAAGGACCATGCCCCGTCGACAACCCTTGCGTGGGCGATTCGCGCAATGCGGCTATGCGGCCCCACGAGTTTGCCGAAGTATCATAGTGTTTGGTCAGTTCTCAAACGTCTTTTTTGCTTTCTCGGCCCAGAGATGGGGGTCGTGGGGACCAACGGGGGACACGTATGCCGGGGACGGAGTAGACGGAGGGCAACGACGCGGAGGAGGTCAAGGAAAGGAAGGACGCGGACGAGGTGGCGGAGAAGGATGAGGGCTGCATGGCAGGGAGAGTAGAGTCGGAGGGCGCCAACTACATACCTACACTGATCCTCACCAGGCCGGTCTTGCCGGCTCATACGCACTCCTGGCCGAGCTTGCAGGGCACACCGATCCCAGGCCTGGATAAAGTCGGTGCAGGTGTACAGTTGAGCGACGGAATCAAACGGGGTCGATTGCGCGGACATTCGTGTGTAAGTTTCCCGCGTGTCAGATGGCGCGTAAGTGCCCGTGTATCTAACTCCGCGCTGGCGGCGCGCGCGAGCCGCTGCGTAATGTCGCTACGGAAGGTTCGCGTCGTGTCCACCAGCGGGAACCCCGCCGCTAGCGTTCAACGTTGAACGCCGCCGGCGACTCAGAATCTGCCGGCGTTGGACGATCTGACGTTTCGGAAATGGCCGATCGTTCAAAGATGAACGATCGCCGCGGTGTCAGAAGCCAACGCGCAAATCGACACCACGCGAACTTGCCGTATGGTGGAAACCCATGCCAAGAAGCACCCTGCTTGCCTCCAGGGTGCCCTGGGTTTCTTGGGCTTCGATGGTTTTGCCATAGAACTGTGACGTTCCCACACCAATCAATGGACGTCCTGGGGTCTCAGGGTTGGGTGTCTTATGGAAGGTTTCTTGTGGTCGAGCCCCATACTGCATGTCATACCCCGTAAGACCCGCTTCTCTTCGTCGCTCGGTTGGTGTCCTCCTGCGGAGGGCTGCACGCATGCCCCGGCCGGCTCCCCGCAAAGCGCCACCCGCCGAGGTTACCCTCCTCCGCAGGGCGGGGGCGGCGCCTACCCCCCCCCGAGCGGTGGCGGCGGCGCCTACGCGAGCGGCGCCGGCGGCGCCTATGCGAGCAGCACAGGCCGCCCCCCCCGCGCCTGCGCTTCTCGCCAGGAAGGACGTGGGACATGGGTCCAGAGGGAAGTCGAAGGAGAAAAAACGCCCTGGATATCAACTTTTGGCGCTCTGCGCGCATTTTTTGGATCCGCGCTGGGCCCCCCCCGCCCGAGGCGCCGCCCCTGGCGCGCTCGGGTCCAGCGCAAATCCGCGCGGAGCGCCAACAGATTGTGTTCATCCCGTTTCTCTTCTTCTAGGACACGGGCCCCGAGGTTTCCTCCGCTCTTGGCTCCCCGGGGCCCTCCACGGGTCCCGGGACTCTGTCCGAAAACGGTTCAGGTTGGAGAACTGTTTTTTGGGGGGAAGGCCCGAGTGTCCAGGACCCGTTTCCCTCAGGACACGTCTCCGTCATGCTGAGCTCGGAGTCGCTCGGACGTGTGGATTTGTTTCTCGGCGAGGACTAATTATCGAGAAGCATCCTGGATCATCTGGCTAAAGAATAATGACGATGACGATGACGACGGTGATGATGATGTTGCTGCTGCTGATGATGATGCTGCTGATGATGATCATGATTATGATGATGCTGATGATGATGATGATGATGATGATGATGATGATGATGATGATGATGATGAGGGTGGTGGTGGCGGTTGTGGTAATGATGAAGTTGTTGATGATAGTGATGATGATGATGATGATGATGATGATGATGATGATGATGATGATGATGATGATGATGATGATGATGATGATGATGATGATGATGATGATAATGATGATGATGATGATGATGATGATGATGATGATGATGATGATGATGATGATGATGATGATGATGATGATGACGAAGGCGATGATGATTATGTTGGGGAAAGGGGGGGAGGAGGAAGGAACGCGGGGCGCCGTCTCTGCAAAGCGAGGACCCAACACCACAGGACGCTGGGAAAGCGCACGCACGACGCCGCAACCTGCAAGGGGCATCGACGTCCCCGAGCCATGGCCAGGGAGCCGAGCTCCGCCCCGCACCACCGGCGCGGCAGCACGCACGGGGCGCGTCTCAGGCACGGAAGCCTCGCCTGCGGCGCGATCTCCCCGCCCGCGGCGGCCGGGCCGGCCGGGGCCGGCGGAAGCACCACGGAGGCGGCTCCGCCGGCAGAACGTCGGCACGTGGCGGAAGTGAGGTCGAAGGAGGAACAGACGCTACAAACACAGTTCCTTGGCGCTCCGCGCGGATTTCTCGGATCTGCGCTGGGGCCCCCCGGCGGCATGAGCTGGTTTCGCCGGCGCTGGTTTCGTGGCGCTGGTTTCGGCCCGCTGGTTTGCCCGACGGTCGGTTTCGCCGGCGCTGGTTTCACTGGCGTTGGTTTCGCCCCGCTGGTTTCTCCCAGCTGGCTTCGCCGGCGGCTGGTTTCGCCGGCGCTGGTTTCGGCGGCGCTGGTTTCGCCGACGCCACGAATGGGTACGGCAAGAATGGGTACACTGCCCAACAGCAGTTCCTGTTCATTCTGAACAGGGCTCGCTGTCCACGCCGCCGCGGCCCGTGTCCATTCGAGACAGAAGGCCGCCTGCCCAACAGCGGCCGCTGTTGGTTTTGGACAACAGTTGTTGTTGGGCATTGTGCCCATGTTTTCCGTACCCATTTCGGGCGTCCAAAGAAATAACCATTGCAAACATAAATTTTTGGCGCTCCGCACGGATTTCTTGTATATGCGCTGTGGCCCCCCGGCGGCGCCTCCGGCGCCTCCCCTGGCGCGCTCCGCGCGCCAGGGAGGGGGGGTCCAGCGCAGATCCGAGAATTCTGCGCGGAGCGCCAAAAATTTATTTGTATGCCGTTGTTTTCTTCTTCGATCTTATCGACTATGAAAGAACCCTGACCTTAATTCCTGATGAAGACGTGGCTTCACTTAGGTCCCCGTCTTTGTATTAAAGAGAATCATCGAGGATAGAATGAATCCCTAATCCTCAAATCTTCATATTAGTATTTGGTCGGGCATGTCCTCTATAGGCGGGTTTTGGAAGACAAATTAGAACTTGTCAAAACATAGACAACAATAGTCAAAAGAGAGCACGAGAACTCTTCACCAGACTATTTGTTTACTACTCTTGAACATGTGTCCTATAGAGGGACATGCCCGACTGAACCCTAATAACATCGTGAAAGCGTGGCCTCACTGAGGTCCCCGTCTTTGTACTACGAACAATGTTTCTGGGCGGTTTGGTTCGATACGTCTACAGAAGACACCCCATCCCCGTTGTGTGTTTGGCCCTCCTGACGTCGGTCCCCTCCCAAAGGGTCAGGGGTGTCCTCTTGGGGGGCTCATCCCTTTACGAGAGACACCACCACCATGTCTGCAACCAGGGGGGGTTCGGAGTCGGCAAGACCAGGAGCAGGAGGAGGCGGAGGGGGAGGCTTGAGGAGGAGGAGGAGGAGGAGGAGGAGGAGGAGGAGGAGGAGGAGGAGGAGGAGGAGCCGGAGGAGGAGGTGGAGGAGGAGGAAGGAGGAGGAGGAGGAGGAGGAGGAGAGGCGGAGGAGGAGGAGGAGGAGGAGGAGGAGGAGGAGGAGGAGAGAGGAGGAGGAGGGGAGGCGGGAGGAGGAGGAGGAGGAGGAGGCTGGAGGAGGAGGAGGAGGAGGAGGAGGAGGAGGGTGAGAACGGGGAGGAGCTCGGACGTGCGTGCGCGGTCGGCGCCGACGGCTGCCCCCCTCGCCTGCGAAGTGCGCCTATAGCCTCGGCGAGCGGCCGGCGGCCCGGCGGGCGGGGCCCGAGGTGCCCCTGCCGCCCCCGCGGATCGTCCGGGGCTGCCCTGGGCTTACGTCGGGCCTGTCCCTCTACAGGGAGAATGTTCAAAAATAGTCAAAACATAGTCTGGGGACTATATATATATACATATATATATATATATATATATATATATATATAGCCCTGTGCACCCACCAAGAACCCCCCTTTCTCATGATTATATATGATTTTATATATGATTCCTACGATGTTCGGACTCACTTTTGAGGCTTTTTTTTGGAAGACTTTTCGGGCTCCCTTCAACTCAACTCCCTCCGTCTCCAACACAACACCCAGTACTCAACAGCCTCCTTCTCCAACACAACACCCGATACTCAACAGGCTCCCTCCCCAGGCTGAACTTGAAAAGAACCTTCTACTCAACTCCCTCCGTCTCCAACACAACACCCAGTACTCAACAGCCTCCTTCTCCAACACAACACCTGATACTCAACAGGCTCCCTCCCCAAGCTGAACTTGAAAAGAACCTTCTACTCAACTCCCTCCGTCTCCAACACAACACCCAGTACTCAACAGCCTCCTTCTCCAACACAACACCCGATACTCAACAGGCTCCCTCCCCAAGCTGAACTTGAAAAGAACCTTCTACTCAACTCCCTCCGTCTCCAACACAACACCCAGTACTCAACAGCCTCCTTCTCCAACACAACACCCGATACTCAACAGGCTCCCTCCCCAAGCTGCACCAAGAACCCCCCTTTCTCATGATTATATATGATTTTATATATGATTCCACGATTTTCGGACTCACTTTTGAGGCTCTTTTTTGGAAGACTTGTTGAGCTCCCTTCTACTCAACTCCCTCCGTCTCCAACACAACACCCAGTACTCAACAGCCTCCTTCTCCAACACAACATCCGATACTCAACAGGCTCCCTCCCCAAGCTGAACTTGAAAAGAACCTTCTACTCAACTCCCTCCGTCTCCAACACAACACCCAGTACTCAACAGCCTCCTTCTCCAACACAACACCCGATACTCAACAGGCTCCCTCCCCAAGCTGAACTTGAAAATAACCTTCTACTCAACTCCCTCCGTCTCCAACACAACACCCAGTACTCAACAGCCTCCTTCTCCAACACAACACCCGATACTCAACAGGCTCCCTCCGTCTCCAACACACACATGTACTCCAGATCCTAGCACCACAACACGACGCGACACCCGAAACTCCAACCGCACCCACCCCCCTTTTTTCTTGGCATCTTCCAAGAGAAAAGGGGGGTTCATGGTGGGTGCTGCGGCCTATATATATATATATATATATATATATGTGTATGTATGTATGTATGTTTGGGCATTTTTTTAGCATTTTTCGGATCATTTTATTTTTTCGCCCAAAATCCCCGTGCAGGGGGGCACGCCCGACTCAGTTCTACACACGCTTCCAGAGGAGTGCCGGTACACACGCCAGGCCCCCTGGTGGGCCTGGTCCAGTGCGTCTCTGGGGCTCATCTGCGGTCAGCGCAGGGCGCTGGCCCCTCGCCCGCGCTGCGCCCGGCATCGGCGTGGCAGCAGGTCCGAGAGGAGCAGGGGGAGGAGGACGAGAAGCTAGGATTGCCAAGCAGAGGGGGTGGAGGGAAGAGAGCAGGGGGAGAGGGAAGAGAAGCCAGGGCTGCCAAGCACGGGGGAAGGAAGAGAGCAGGGGGAGCGGGATGAGCAGCATCAGCGCACCAGATCTGCCTTCCTACCCCTTCCACGCATCCATTCCCATGGCGCTGATGTTTTCCCTATCCGCCGACGGGTGCCCTGGCGGACCTGATCCCCCAACCGACTCCATCCTGTGATGCGCAATCGGAAATGGGAGCTGTGGCCATGCGAGGACGAGGAGTTTGGCGGATCAGCAGAAGGATGAGCAGAATGAAGAGGGACCTGATGATGAGGAGGAGGAGCAGCAGCAACGGGAGCACGAGCAGCAGGAGCGGGAAGACCAGGAGAGGAGACCGGAGGAGGGGTCCGGGACAGGAGGGGGCGACACGGGCGAGGCAGGACTCAGATCCAGAACTGTGGCCCGCACTGGGGCGAGAGCGCCATTCCGAACGGCGGGATCAGAGTGCCGATCCCGAAGCGGGCAATTCGACTTCTCAAGCAGGAGGAGGAGGAGGAGGAGGAGGAGGAGGAGGAGGAGGAGGAGGAGGGGCAGGAGGAGGAGGAGGAGGAGGAGGAGGAGGAGAGAGGAGGGAGGAGGAGGAGGAGAGGCAGGAGGAGGAGAGGAGGGGGGAGG